GGGCATCATCGGGGGCGCCACGGCGCTGGTGTCCCTGGCGCTCATCTTCGGCATCTTCTGCTGGTACGGGCACCGCGCGGGGTACCTGTTCGCCCGCGAGCAGAGCTACAGCCGCGGCGCCAGCGCCAGCGCCAGCGCCAACGCCGCCGGCCCGCGCAAGCCCGCCGACGACTACGCCGAGGCGGGCACCAAGAAGGACAACTCCATCCTGGAGATCCGCGGGCCCGGCTTCCAGATGACGCCCCTGGGCAGCCGGCAGCCGCTGCGCCCCAAGCCCCTGGGGGAGGACTTCGTCATCCACACCATCTTCCCCTCCAACGGCACCAGCCTGTACAAGAGCACGCACCACACCGTGGGCTACGGCACCAACCGCGGATACCGCGAGGGCGGCATCCCCGACACAGACTACTCCTACACGTGATGCGCGCCGCCCCATCAGGGAACCTCCTCACCGCGAGCACTGTGGACCTCCCGCCCGCGGGGGGCGCCGCCCGTCCGGGCCGGAAGACTGAATGTTCTACCGGGTTTTCTTTCGGGCGACATCGTTTTCGGGTTTTTCGTTTCCTAGTCTGTCCTCCGCTCCGGGCGGGACCGTGCCCTCTGACCCCCAGCACGCTCGGCGCAGGAGGCGGTGGGGGTGGGGGTGTCACAGAGACAGGGGCAGAGCTGGGGGGGTACCGCGGACACAGCGGTGCAGGGGGCGGTGTTCAGTGAGCAGGGCGCAGCGCTGTGTTCAGGGCCCGGTCTCTGGGAGCTATCCCTGCCCCCACCACCGCGCTCCTCAGCACTCTTCGTCACTCCTCATCGGCGCAGCGGGGGTGACCAGCAGCCCCAGGGGATCAGGGTTCGAGACGAGGCACTGCCCAGCTGGAGGAGGGTCCCGGATACACAGCACCAACACCCCGGAGCACCTGGGTGTGACCTCCTCCCTCTCTCTCCCTCTCTCCCCTTCTCTCCCTCTCCCTCTCCCTCCCTCTCCCCCCCTCTCTCTCTCTCCCTCTCCCTCTCTCCCCCTCTCACTCTCACTCTCCCTCTCTCCCTCTCTCCCTTTCCCCCTCTCTCTCTCTCTCCCCCTCTCCCTCTCCGGCGGCGAGGAAAGACAACAGACTCTTTGTCTGCAGGTTTTGTTTGCTTTTGCTCATTTGGTCTGCTCTGTTTTTCTACACAATTAAAAAGAGTGTTCTGACCCACGGGCCGCTGTGTGATTCTTTCTGGAGGAGGTGTGGAGAGACAGAGGGAGGGTCGGGAAGGGAGGAGAGGTCAGGGACAGTGGGCGGAGGAGGACGGGAGACAGAATTACTGGTGTCCTGGCATCACTCTCGGATGAAGAATAATCCACAACACAGGTCAACAGAGGTGCGCTTGGCTCCTGCCTGAAACTCCAAGAGCCCTGAGACCTGCCTGTCTCCCTCTCTCCCTGTGTGATAGACAGGTCTCTGACTGCCTGTCTCTCTCTCTCCCTGTGTGATAGACAGGTCTCTGACTGCCTGTCTCTCTCTCCCTGTGTGATAGACAGGTCTCT